CCCCCCACCCACCCCCCCCCCCACACCCACACCCACACCCCCCCTCCACCCCCACACCCACACCCCACACACCCACACCCACACCCACACCCGTAAAAACGGGTTCAGCATTTTGAACGAAAATAAGATCGTAAAAAGCGCACATTTCTACGCGTTCATAACGAGTTAGGTTTTTGAACGAAGTAAAAACGCGTTAAAGACCTTTAACGAAAATAAAATCTTAGAAATGTGCGGTTTTTACGAGTTAATTTTCGTTAAAATGTCGACGCATTATAACGCGTTATTTTTTGTCGTTTGTCTGACTGGGCTGGAAAGAACCAACGAAAACTCGTCGGAAGAGTCACAAAAAATTCTAAAATTTTCACTGTTGATAGACTAAAACATGCTCTTTCTACTCGCAAAATTTTATCCATGATATGGGGAATGGGACTCTCCCTAATGATTGTTCGATGAATAGAAAAAACAATCTCGATTAGAAGCACAACAAAGATGTTAAGCAGATAGAAGGATTTTGATGAAAGAAGAATTTTGTCCAATCGAGCAGGATCACTTGTGCTAAATAAAAAAACATTTCTTCGAAACAGTGAATTGATTTGCGTCAATTACTTACATATGTTGATGATATCGACAATTATTTTGTTCTCCGATGAAGATGTTGATGATCTTCTTCTTCGTCGTTTATATCCTGGTGGAAATGTGTGTTCGGGTATGATATTGTAGTGCAAATTGCCCGTTTAGTTCTGATATTTCTGTTCATTTCGGCGATTGCGGATCCGAGACGTGCAATTTTTTCGCGACTTGCGCAAACTTCACTTTGCGCCTGAGCGAATTTTTGATCGATATCAGCCTGGGCCGCTCGACGACGATCTACCTGGGTAACTAAAATTTGCGGAGTATTCTTTGTCCGATCGTACACTCGCTGTTTCTCAATATATTTTCGTGTTATTCGCTCCAATTGACCTTTGAGAGTATCCAGTTCGCTTGTACTTTTTAGCACGAGTTCTTCGCTCTTCTGTTTAAGTATTGTCTGTTGTTCTATGTCGCGTTCGAGTGTTCGCTTATTTTCATCAATTTCGATAATCTGACGTCGAGAATCTACCAATGCCATTTGGATAGTAGCCAACTCTTGTTCGCACTCTGTCCGATGCTGTTGGTACATTACCAACGTCTGTTGTTTGACATAGATTTGTGATTGCAGGGCGATGAAATCCTGTTCTTTCTCGTTGTGAGTAATTCGTTGCTGTTCAATGTCATGAGTAAGACGACAAATATGATCGTCACATTTTTGCTTTGCCTGCTCTTGCGATGCTAGTTTCGCTTCAATTTGAGCATGTTCTCTTTCGATCTTCTGTTGTTGCTGCTGAGTTTCTCTTAACAATCGTTGTTGATCCATCTGCTCATTTTCCAACTCTTGTATCGATTTAGTGACATTGTTGATGTTGGCATTGGCATTTTGAAATTGTTTTTGTGCTTGAAGAATTTGAATAGTTTTTTCGCCAATAAAGTCTCGTTCTATTTCGATATATTGTTGATTTTGTTGTTGTTCAGCCAGTTTAGAGATTTCATTTGTCTTAGCACGTTGATTTTCGGCCAATTGATTTGTGTACTGCTGGTCCACATAATGTGTTTTCTGTTTTAATCGGTATAATCGAAGGTCGATCTGTTGAGTCTTCTGTGTAAAACTTGAGATTAATTGTTCCAGTTGTTGAGCATCATCGTTGATTGTTTGATTTTGCTTTTCCATTTGTGAGTATGTCTTTTGTACCATATGATTTTCGTCTATTACTGGTAGATCGATATGCTGACAATGGTTTATCATTTTTGTCAGTGTATTCTTGACTTGAATCACAGTTGCATTGATGGTTGCTTTTTGTATTTCAACTTTGTCTTCTCTGATAGAAACTTCTTGCTCTTGATTTTTGAGCTGTGCTTGTTTCGTCTGTAGAGTAGTTTTAGCTTGTTGAAGTTGTGCTCGACGCTGACTAATTTCTGCTTCGGCAGCAGTGCGTTCTTGTCTTTTGAGCTGATGAATTTCAGTACGTTGTGTGAGGACAGCTTGGCATTGGGTAAGTTTGGACTGGCATTGCATGATTGCGGCCTCAATACACTCGGCTGATTCAGTCGATGCAGTTGCTAAGTGATGTTGGGCTTGAACCAATGCCATTTGAGCAGCGCTATAATCGGTTTGTGCCAGAACTTCATCGGATCGAGCATGTTGTTCGGCGGTCCGAGCTACTTCCACTCGAATTTCACTTTCATCCAATGTGTGCGCAGTCATTCGCATTTGCTCTTCTTCCTGATTGATTGTCTCTTCGAGTTGACATTGTCTTTGTACCTCAACACATAGCTTTTCTTCGAATTGTTGTTGTATTAGCTTTTGACGTTCTAATTCTGCTGCACATGCGTCTCTTTCGTTGGTCAGATGACGAAGAATTCCTTCGAATTTTTCTAATTGATTTTGAAGGATGGATACCCGTTGAACAAGTGTATCTCTTGCTTGCTCATCTTGACTCAATTTGATATTTGTACGATCAAAATTGTTCGTATTTTGTTTTTCTTGACCCAACTGCTTTCGTTTCTGATTTTGCAGTTCGATATCAATCCTAAATTAAAAAAATAATGAATGAAGCTTAGGTCTTTCTCATGTCCATATTAACGAACTCAAGCATATATCGTTTCTCCAGAAGGTCATGTGCGAGTTGTTCTCCTTCAACGAGTATGTCTTGCAAAGTTTTCAGTTCGCTTTGGAGATGGTCGACCCTCATTTTAAGTGATTTGATTCTTTGTTCAGCAGCGTTGACCTCGTGTGTGGCTTGAACTACTCGCTCTTTAGCTTCTTTAGCTTCTGCATGCAGTTTTCTCGTGAACTGTTCGAATTCTTTCTGTCGATTGCATTTCATATCAGTGATTTCATCGATTCGTCGAATACTATTTTCAATTTTGTTCGTTTCTTGTCGAAGGCGATCACTAATTGATCCATTATCACGCATTTTTTGTTTAAGATCAACACGTTGTTGATCAAATGTGTCTATTTCTTGTTCAAGCTGATGCATTTTATGTTGCTTCTGTTTGATATCAAATTCAAGCTGATGAGCTTTTTCTTGTAGCTGAATTGAACGCATTTGGAGCTCTTTCAACTGATGTTCGATTTGTTGAATCTGCTGAGCAACTTCTCGTAACTTTTGTTCAATTAGTTGACGTTGTTGATCGAATTGATCATGTTGTTGTTCTAAATGAATTTTTTGTTCCTCGAGTTCCTTCACTTTTTCTTGTAACTCTTTGAATCGTTCTTCATGCATGTGTATTTCTTCGTTGAATCGAACTTGTTCATGTTGACTTTGTCGCCGATAATCATCTAGTCTCTGTTTCTCATCACGTAATATTTCAAGTTCTTGTTCGAGTCGTTTTACTTCGTGATTGAGCTTCTCGAGTTCTTCGTTAAGTCGACGCAATTCATTTTTATTTTCATTTGTGTTGTGCTTCAATTTGTCTAAATAAGTACATAAAGCTTGCTCTTCTTCTTTTGCTAGACGAATACCATTTTCGAGCTCATATTTGGCATCTTCAAGTTTACGCAGTTGTTCTTCCATTTGATATAAATTTTCAGCTTCACCCATGCACGTTAGTTCTAATATTCTATTCAGCTATGAATATGCGGAATCAGCCTTTCAATTTTAATCGTTAGTGCAATAGAAAGACGAGTGATTTATTTAAAATATGACTCAATAACAAATGCAGGTGGAAAAAACCTGCAGATGTGAAGGAGGAAAAAAATTGGCGCATCTTTTCGTTCTCTATCACATGTCAATAAAAGTAGAGTGTTGCGTGAGATGTTTGCGTGGAAGAAAGAATGATTCACTGGCTTGGAAATTTCCAGCGGAATTGAATGTAATCGGTGGGTATGTTGGACTTGGGGAATTATTTTCTGATAGTGTTGATGTAGTCGGTGTTGTGCGAGTGAGAGAAATGACGCACTCAAAAACCATTCAAGTAACACTTTTTCTATCGATTGCAGTGCAATTGTGCACAACTTAAGAAGGAATTATTTTATGGAACTCATTGCAAAGTATGAGAGTAAGTTTGTAACCGTAAATCTTCTTCTATCCGTCTTACAGATACTGATAGTTCTTAATATCCAGCAGGAATTGTGTAAAACCAATGGTCGCTAGAAACTTTTGTGAGAATTGATACGAAATGAGTGTTACGACATATGGCGAGAAAGTAACTTAAGTTAGAACCCATATTTTTCTCTGGCATACACCGTAGCAGAAATATCTATATCCTATATTATGGTCTGTCAGACCAGTGAGTTTTAGTTTTTTGGATTTTCAAATTTTGGACTTCTGAATCTTAGAAACTGCAATCGATTTGTAATTTTTAGATGCGAGCAATTCATTTTTCTTGCGCAACGTAATATGTTAGCTCTTATTAAAGATCGTTGCAGGCTATTATAAATTATTCTCCTTTTACCTTATAACGTATCCAGCTGAATACACTAATAGGCATGTACCGAAACCGAACTTCAGTGCGGAGTTCGGACCAAATGGTTCGGATTCGGGTTCGAGTTCAGGTTCGGTCCTCAGAGTTCGGGCTACCAGGTGGATGAATCCGATCGAATCCGATTGTAGGAATGGTTCTTCTGGGTTCAGGACCTGTCCAACGAGCAAAGACCGGGTCGACCGTCTAGATAATTCTCCAAGCATTTATTCAGTGTATACAATCTATCTTGAAAGCACTCTAAGATTCGGGTTTTTTCGAACATCATCATTTTTCTTCGAATATCTCTAGTCCTTCATTTTTTTGGATCATTTATTTCATTGTATGCAGACGTACCATAGCCACCCCTGAAATCTCTTCTTTTGGTTTATTTCTACGTCTTTTTATCAAGTGCCTGAAAAATGATCTAGCCCTCACCCTCACACCCATCCTCACCCTTAAAACTCTAGCTGCGTATAGATGCGTATTGAGACTAAACGCGCCTCATTCACAATGAAAACTAATGAGTTGCACATTTGAGCCGCGTCTAAACGCAATCAATAGACGAATGAGATTGAGTTTATTAACAGTTCAGAAATACGGATGCGTTTAGATGCGGCCTATAAACGCATCTGAACTCGCTCAATTTTTCCGATGCGTAGAAGCGCAGTTGTATGCGTTCAGTTAAATTTTTAAATGCATTTCAACGCGCTTTTTAATCAGGTTTGAGAAATTCGCATCTAGATACGTTCGGCTGAAACAAAAGACGCCTTCAAACGCATTCGATCTGCGTTTGGTGTTTACATGTGGCGGATAAGATTTTCTGCCATATTTTGAATTCTTTGCTTATTTAAAAACAGTTTTCTTTACTGCGTTGATACTGCACATATAATTCAAGCAGGTCTTCGTATTCTAGATAAACGCAACACATCGAATGAGTAACACTGAATTGATTCCAATTGTTGACTATTTGCGAGTTAATGCAACTCTTCACGAAACACATTTAAAAAGTATTCGTGATCTCTATCGACAACTGTTACATCTGTCGGATAATCTAGCTATGCCAGATGATCCGGATGAAAACGCGATTACTGAAGTAGCTCGTCAGCTCAATCTGCGTGTCGATACATGCAAAAGTCGCGATTATCTGCGCGATTGTGTCAGACATGAAGATATCAGTGATGCCAGATTGGTTGTTTCAAGCATGTTGGTCGCTGAAGAGGAGCCACTGGATGAATGGGAATACACTTTCAGTCCATTTATCCCTTCTCCGATTACTCGACTACCATCGGCACAAGTGGCAAATGATTTCATACTTGTTGTCGATATTGATTGTTCGTTAACCATTAAAATGCGAACTCCCGAAGTGCACCAATTTATTCACTCATTTCTACTACAAGAAATCGAAGAATCACATCAGCCGTCTACTCAGTAAAAACTTTCTCACCTATCTGCTGTGATGTCGAGAGGGATTATTCATTTTTTTTAGTGTTATTGAATCACATGCAACATTTCGTTACGACGAACAGTTTCTCCTTGACAATGGTTGTCTACTCTACTATTTTGTCCGAGAACGATTACGCGCTCGTGGCATAATCACATCAGTTGGTCATCGAAATTCAGCTCGTTTTCGACTGATCGAACCTGTGAGCTTGACTGATGATTGTGGCTCATGGCAATACGACCATTGGCGGGGCCTATTCGATTTAGAGCTGACCCCACATGGCACGAATACTCGATTTCCTGTCCGATGGCGTTTAGCAGACAATGCACGCATCCATTGTCGCTTGAATTATTCTCATTCAACAAGGAGATTATCGACTATATCGTTTGGCGATCAACCACGAACGGAATCGCTCGATGCATTCGTGCATGATGTATGTGCTTTTGAAAACAATGGTCAAGGTGATGCATGGTTAAATGCCCTTGTCCACGAAGATATACTCACCTTTGAACATTTGGCCAATTTGCGTCAGTCCGAATGGTATAATATTCACAAATTGTCGATAAATGCTAAGAAAACGCTAAAATCAGCCGTTGATCGGCAACAAAAAAACGTTACTGATAAATGTTATCAACGAAAATCCGATGATTTTGGTGAAGAATACAGCAGCGAGATGATGGACGACATCGCAAGTAAGAGTCTAGATCGTTTTGAAGAATTAATAAATGATTGATTTTTGTTGCAGAAGACCCATCGTACTCTTGCTGCGAATTACTTGCTAATCTCCATTTGATTAAACTTTTTATCTCGTATACGTTACGCGAGGAGCGGTCTTTGGGACTTCGTGGAGTTTTGCCTAAACTAGATGTAATCTGTTTAAGCGCGGCATTCGTTGAGATGCGCGAAGAAGGCTTTGCTGACGATGGCCTTTTTCTAAAAATGCACGAATTTTTCCTTCCATTAACCATTTCCGAGCGAGAATTGTATATGGAACGTGGATTAGACACACAAAAACGTCAGACACTTTTGACAGACCACGATCAGTTGCTTGCTGACATTGACCGACGGATAAATGAGACTAACGTACAGACTGATATCTTTTGGACATATGACGATAAAATTAGGTCATTACAAAAACGTCTCAATGAGGCAAAAGCTGATTATCTACTCTCACGAACAACAATGACTTCAAGCCCCAATATAGATCAACAAAAACAACAAGCAGAATCACTCCAACAACTTGACCGAGCGTGGCACAAACAAGAGGCATCTCTGATGAAACAAATCCGCGACATTCAGAATTTGAAAACCGACATTGGAAAAGTCATTGCTGAGTTAGACCAAAAGCTTGATGGAGAAAAAACGCGCTTGAAAAATATCCAGGAGGAACTCGCCAAACCTCTCAGACATGTCGGAAAACAACTTATGAAGCCTGCTCGTGGGCTCATCATGTACGGACCACCTGGTAAGTTATCAAAAACCCTCAAATTAATTCTCGTATCATTAATCTTCTTCAAAAAGGCACCGGAAAATCAGAAATCATCAGCAAATTGGCAGTAAAATTAGGTATTGCAATGATAGGACCCCCATTAGCCGCCGGTGAACTCAATCGTCCACTAGTTGGTGAAAGTGAACGAGTAATAATTTCATTATGTGAACGTTGCCATCGAATTCCTTATGCCATGTGCTGTGTTTGCATCGATGAAATCGACTCATTGGCACCAAAACGAAATGAAGATTCTAGTGAAGGCAAAATAGATAAGATCTCCGTTCTTTTATCATTGATAGATGGCATCAGAGATATTCCCAATTTGATGATTTTGTGTGCAACAAATCGATTACACATGATGGACGAGGCATTTTTACGTCGAATGTCGGGCAAGTTTTTTGTCGGAAGACCTTCATCAGATGCACGCATTAGCATTCTCAAGGGTATCCCTGATTGGGCATTGCAGTCGGAGATATTCGATCGTCTATCGAGTGCTACCACCAACTTCACCGGAGCGGCTCTTAGGTAATAGTTTATTCGTGTCGAAAATATTTATTATTGTTTTTTTTTTATAGGGCGTTTACACGAGCGATTACCGTGAAATGTCTTAGCACTAAACGCTCTCAGGCAAACTATCAAATAGATTATGAGGAAGCGTTGATGATCGCTGATCACATTGCTCAACAATATCAAATCTTTTTCGGCAGTGAAACATTACCCCGTCTGCTCTTACGCAACTTGCCGAAATTGCTCACGCACTCTCAACTTCGTATTCATCAATTATCAAACAATTTCAACTACACCGGACGGATTATCGTAGATTTGTACACTCGTCATGCACGAATCGAAGTACGCAAACAAGATGTCAATCTAGAAAATGAGACATTGTCAATTATCGAGTACAAACTTCATCAAAGAGAGATAAATATCCAAGCATTACTCGAACGGTTGACTGGTTATGGAAAGAGTCGTAATGTTCAACTTCTTCAACTGATCGATCTCAATTTACTCGCTTCACAAAGTGCATACGATGAGAAGAAAACCTTTGAAACACTGAAAGATCGGTATGATGAATGCGTTGCGTATACTCGTTCAATGATTGTCTACGATCTTGATGCACTGATTGGTGTTAATAAATCTGAATCCGATTCGAACATGGGCCGATCGACTTCATTATCGATTGTCAATCAACATCTCTATACTTATGTGCGAGCAAGATTCTGTGATTGTATCATAGAAGACCACCAACAACAAACAACTGATAGAATCGAACGATGGGGTGTGGCTGTCATTCATGAACCATTTTTGTTAAGACAGTTTTGTATTGATACTCAATTTACTCGAACACGTCAAGAGGAAGACGAACTCGAATTGGAGCGACGAAAAGCTGAAGATCTTCTCAAATGTGTCAAATGTAAAGATTTCTACACTGAGAAGGAAAACAAAATGGGTAGATATTGTATCTTCTTAACTTATATTTGTGCCTCGATTTGTACCCTTTCAGGCAGTTGTTTTCATCACGATGGATTTGTCTACGATAATTCGACAACTGCTCTCATCATTTACACTCAGCGTCAGGCAACTCTGCTACTGAATAAACTGGAATGTGACGCGATCAATGACCCCAAACGACGTGAGGAGTTCGAGCCTCAAAAGAGCAAATTCAAGTGGATCTGTTGTGATGCAGTGCTTGCCAGTGGAAATGTAGGCGGATGTAAAACGGGTAAACATGGATTCGATGCCGCTGGCGATGATCAGCAGCATCAGCAGCAATGTATCAATGTTAGAAGCGATCGACTCGATCAAGCCACTATTGAGCAATGGGAAGAAGCATGCCGCGTTAATGAAGAGTACAATGACAAATGGCTTAGGTTGGTAAAAGCGCGTAGTTGATAGTATTCACGTTTGTGTTTTCTATTCTGTATTGTATTTCGAAAAATAATGAATAATATTGACATGTAGTAGTTTGTTTCATAAAGTCAGTAATAGCCAAGAGCTGAGAAATAAAAGTTGCCACATAAACTTTCCAACAATTTCGCGATTTCCGTAAATCCTATTGATGTATTAGGTTAACTTTCAAGAATCATGAAAGTGTAAGCGAATTGAGGGCCAGTTATACGATTCCTCGGCAACCATCATTATTTCCCTGCTAATTTCCTGGCAGTTCAGACTTTCTAATCTGTTCTTTATATATGACATGATTATTATTTATGGAAATTTTTGAATTTAGCTTTCGTAGTCAATAATATCTATTAACTGTACAAGTAAAATCCATAGCAAAGAAAGGTCATCTCACATCCTCGTTTCATTTTTCCCTTGATTTTGTTTAGGGTGTGGGTGTGGGGTGTGTGTGGGTGTGAATGTATGTGGTTGGGTGTGGATGTGGGTGTGAGTGGGTGTGAGTGTGGGTATGGGTGTGCGTGTGCGTGCGGTTTGGGTTGGTGTGAGAGTGAGAGTGTGAGTGCGGATCAAGGGGGAAAAAGCGAAAATGTCGTACTCCCATGTACTCCCACGTACTCCCAGGATAAGTTGTAACGATCTTTGAGATTTTTCTAATCACTTAAAGTCTACTATCGATCTGTGTTACGATGCACTAGCTGGAGTACAGTGAATGTGAGACTGGTGGACAATCAGGCTCAAATACTTCGTCGTACTCCCCTTTTGGGAGTACAAACATGTATTTGCGGGCAAAGT